TCTGTAACTGACATAATTATCAACTTATAATTAAAGATAAAGATTAGGAATCCATCTCGAATGTCAATTGGACCAACACATGCACTGTTTTTTCCTCAATTATGTTGACATGTATTATTGTTCGCACTCTTCTTGGATTGTTTGTTTGTTTAATTAACGTCCTTAACAGAATTTTTCACTCAAGTTGAGACCACTTGCTCGTGGAGGTCTGCAAATTTAGGACTATACTCGGCACTTAGACCTTTCACTAATCGCTCACAGTTGTAAGAGCGTCAGCTAGTCGTGGAGTAAGGAGTTGGTCCTTACGTCGCGGATTCGCATAGGATCATGAAACGTGGAGACCAGTTCTTTGGATAAGACCGTATGAACCGAAGCAAACCGTGTAGATGTAAAGTCTCATCCGAAGAACAGTTATGGATATCAGCGTCCCTGAGTGGGATTCCAACTGGCAACGTTCTCTAAAGCAAATGCTCCTACTATGTTACCGTTTAATAGGTGACTTATTTTGAATAAAAATGATTTTTTAAAATTTCGAATCCTTGCTTTTGGCTATAGATACTGACATTGCTTCGGCCATTTCGTTGGAAAATAGTTTGATATATAAAACATTGTCGTATATGAAAAATCTTAAACGAACACACACGAAAGAAGGATATGGAGATAACGAACAGTATTCAATATCAAAGTCCATAAAACAATACAATATTAGAGCAGAAAAACACGGACTGATGTGGGATCAGGTGCAATGGAGGAGTGAGCATCCCCTGCTGACGGTCACACCCGCCGTGTGCTCCTTGTCATGATCGGGAAATAACGGAAAAATCCGTCGTCAAATCAGTGTATAAATAATTGACTAAAAATAAGTATGAAAAACGTCAGTCAGCATTTGCCTCAATGATAAATAGTATTTGCTAACAAGGCCATTGTATCGGCCATAGAATTTACGAAATGATGACTTTAAACGAGACTGTTGATATTCTTGTTTCATCAGCTTTCTTGTTAATAATTTACCTCGTTTTAGAAATTGTTCATACGTACGTAGAGCATGCTCTTGCGTATCGAATCAACTGACGTATATAGACTCCGTATCCAGGTGATGAAAGTATATTGCTGCATAAGTAAGGGAAGTTGACGATAGAAAAGTTAAAGTCATCACGTTTATCATATAGCTTGGTTGTTAGATTACCATTAACGTCTTTTTCAAGTAAAATATCCAAGTATGAAATAGATGTGTCAGACTCTGTGGTATATTTTATATCTCAAGCTCACCAGGATATATCGTATCGACGTAGGAATGGAATTGACCATGGTTAATTGACAATACGTCGTCGATATATCTTAATGTCGAGTTGAAGGCCACAACAAGTGTTTTCTTCTTTTAGATTTTGCACAAATTCTGCTTCATACGAATATAAATACAGGTCTGCTTATAACGGAGCGCAATTGGTATCCATGGGAATTCCAATAGATTATTTGAATACCTGGTCTCCAAAACCCACATAGATATTGTCAATCAGAAACTCAAGCATCTTCTTGATGTCAACTTCAGAGTCCTTGTGTGTGCAATCAGAATTTGTTTAACAAAATAATTCTGCAAGAAACAAATGACCAGGTAAGTAAATTAACGGGTTCCATTTTTATTGAAAAAAGCAGCTGTCAATGATGGCTGAAAGTCTGGACTTTGATTTATCATAGGGAATAGTTGTATATAAAGTTGAAAAGTCGTACGTTTTTAAGCTGTTGATTTTTTGAAAATTCTTGTGATTTCAACTTATCCAAAAGTTCTTTGGAATTTTTGAGTATCCACATCTGATTCACACCACTTCTTGAATATACATGTATTGTTGCGCAGTACTCTTGAAGTTTTTCCTTCACTAATGTCAACAGCTTAGTGAGGAGTAACGAAAGAGGCTTGGTTGAACATTTACTGGAACCCGCAATGTATCTTTGTTTGTAAGGATTTTTATGAAGTTTCGGAATCCAATATATATAGGGTAATTCAAATTCATTTTGGCTCTGTGGAATATTAAAAATATCTAAACCTGACATATGATTTTGAAGAATTTCTTCCTTAGAAAGGGAAGTATGAGTATAAGCAGGATTACCATTTGTAGAATTAAATCCAATTTCTTCTAAAATACAATTAATATAATGAGCCTTACAAACGAAGATAATGTTGTTACCTGCTTTGTCGGCATGGACCAGTGTGTACTGATCATGTAATCTATCTAATTGTTTTTTCACTTCTGGATTATTGAACACAGAAGGATTGATGGTTTTCGTATTGCCCCTCAATCTTTTAATTCGCGACTTTAACATGGATCTGATACATTTAATCCATTCTGACAGGGTGTCAACGTCTTCTTTTACATATCTGGCCCATCGTCTGGCGTAATTTTCAACAGAATCCATAACATTTATGAAATTCCAACGCCAGTTGAAGGATCGGGGTTCCCTATATTTAGGGCCTTATAAAATAAGTGATCTAAGGTCCTCATTATTAACTATATTTACGTCACCTGTAATAACGTGTCCAGCAGGACTAGTAGTTGTAGGGTGAAGAAGAACATGAACAAGATGGAGGATTATGTTTCAGATATTCGGTATCAAGGCCATGTAAAGTTTTTTTTTTTTTGTAATTGAAAAGTTTGGAAGCAATGGTCGATGTATATTTGTAGGAAATACAACTTGCAGTCTTTAACTTGAAATATGGTGGAATACAAGCCTGGACCCTTTTGTGATTAAGAATATTACTTATATTAACAGCGTCAATATCTATTGGGATATTGGAGTTTAAGGAAAAGACGGATTGTATTAGCTGCAATTTCATCCGTAAAACGTGCGGGTTTAAAAAGCCTATGATTAGCAATATCCATAATCACAGATCCGAGCCTATATTCTGGACTCGAGAAATCAAAAATTGGACTTTTCTTGGCCTTTTCAAGAAGATTATTTAAAAGTTTCAAAGGGACAGAGTACAGTTTGGTGCGAATCTGATGTAGACCTAATTGTTGATTTACATAAGGTAGTAACGAATCAAAAGAGACATCGTGAATTACGTTTATTGTACGACCGATGCCCATGACTACGCCTACGTCTCTGTGTATTGTTAAAAAGTTCCATCGCATTTACATCGCTACACTGTGGACTGGAAAGATTTCCAACACTATCGCCATTGTCATTACATCCATAGGGAAAGGCTGTACCTAGTTTTCGAATCCAAAATTCTTCTCGTTGTCTACGGAAAGGTGTACTCAGCGACTGACTATTTGTGTGGTGATAAATCTTTTCGACAATTCTAACTTTCATAGACAAAATAGAATGATCAGGTAAATTAAAATGTTTGTATAAAAGTTGCTGACCACCATGATTGATTTGAAATCGATGACCTGACATTCTTTTATACAGTGATCCCTTGGTTTTACCAACATAAATAAGTCCACACAGATTACAATCTATTCCATAGACAACTTTCAAAGATTTGCAGTTCAGATTTTCCCAAGTTTTGGTATAGAAGCTCTGTCCAAAAAGATTACTGGTGATAGAAGTTTCAGTTATCAAAATGTCACAGGTTTTACAGTTTTGCACGGAACATTTTGAAACAGAAGGCATGGGATCGGTAAATGAATCATCAAATATATCTGTAATAGAAACCTTACATTCTTTCAATTTTTGGTATGATGTATAAGTTTTATACCAAAACTGGGAATCTGAAGACTGTACATATGACATATCCCTGAAATTATCCGAGGGGCAGCAAATGAACTCCTTGAGTCTGTGTCCCTTATAGACTCAACGGAGTGACGCCTTTTTATACTGGGCGACGCGCCTGCCAGTATCATTTCGTTATTCTGTGTACTCATGAATGAATAGGTACCGAACGACGAGTATCCTCGGATGTTGTTTGATAAATTATTGCACACCCTATCAACATGGCGGGCGTGCCCGGTCGGCAGGAGACTCCGCATGGCACCTTATCCCACTTCTGATGTTTACAGCTATAGAGGTCATCGTTCGCTCTGCTCCTGATTTATTTCATTTGTTACACAAGAGTTCGTCTCAAGGTAATTCCACCCTCCTGTGATGTACTAGGTTTTTGCAAAAACTGTTATTAAATTGAATTCATACCCAATAGAACAATATATTTTGAAAGAATGATTTTGCATAGGTGTAATGATAAATATTAAGTAAAAGAATTTGAAAAATGCATATTTCCTTTATTTAATCAATTATTCAATCTTTTAAAAATGTTGACAAGGGCAATAACTCCTCCTCAAGTAGCTTCATTCGGGCATTTTCTTTATTGTACTTCTAATGTAAAATAGTTTCCGTAATATTCACAATTCAAGAGTATTTTATAAGTAGCAAGTATTTAGGAACTTTCAGCATCATAATTATGCAACTGAATCAGTTTTTACATACTATTTATGATAGTGTTTACAAAAAATGTACGATTTTCTATGTTGACATATGCTTCTGTTTTTTTATGTCTCCCATCTTAAATAATATGGCGACCTATATTTTTTTGGAAGTAATTGATAAATTCAAACTTTATTAAATGAAAATAAATTCAATTTTTGTACTTTTAACCATTAAAATTGTAAAAGTGGAAAGACCTTAAACCAATTTATCTAGAGATGAGAGTCGTTTGAGTTATCAAAATTGAATCTCTTTAAACATTTCTTATGCTTGTCTCTTTAATTACTACTCATCGCATATAATTAATAGTAATTATATGAGTGAAAAAATTTCTCGGATGGGACGTAAATACGTACCATCAATCAATCAGAGGTAATTAAGGAATATCAGTAAGAATTACTCAGTAGTGGAATATTTCACACATTTATGGCGTTTATGTTTGCGACAGACCTGTTAATATCTTTAATTCACTAATCAGCAGACGTTTCTTTATATATGGACTTCTTTCGATAAAGAATAAGAAGAACAGCTGTATATTCTACAATCATTGTTTTATTGAGGAAAAAAACAAAGCTTTGTGAACGAAAAAGTATGACAATAATACAAGCAAAATACATTGAATTTCTCAATAATTACGTAGTAATTATGTCTCTTCTCTCAGTCATTTTGTCCCTTTCTTCATCCTTGAGTGCTGGAGTTTGCTCATTCATGATTAGACCTTTTATTTGCAAGATTGGAATTTCAGAACAGTTCGCAATATCTTGTAGGCCATCATATGAAAACTATCATCATATTACTGTAGTTCAACTGGCTTCATTTAGGTTCAGACCAGGTCAACGTTCTTATTCCTCTGGAACAATAAAATAACACCCATAGACTTGATTGAGAGTGTCAATTTATAAACATACGTCGAAGAAAGGACGAATTGTGCCTTTTTGTTTTCTTTGCAATAGATGCGACACAAGAAAACAGACAGGACACTTCAACATTATCGTCAGAATATATCTCAAAGTAGTCATGAATTCGCATTTGGGAGGTGATTTTGATTGCTTCTCTTTTAGACACGCTTCTTGCTTGATTTTTACCCGAAAGAATTCCCACTAGAACAATTGGTATGGTCTTTCCAAGGAACTGTCGAATTTCGGGAATCCACACAGACTGAACATTTTCGAAAGATTTTCTTTTCTGGACATCGTAGCAAATGATGATGACATTACTGTCTTTGAGTGCAAATCGCCTCATCTGGTCAAAGTCATGCTGTCCGGGTAGATCATAAATTGATACGATGGCTTTCTTTCCTCTACAAAATGTTTCCCCTAAGAAAAAAAAAGAACCATCTAAATGCATTTGTTTATATTATTACAGCGAAGGAAACCCTAATCCACAGACACGAATGTATTGCACAAAACCAATCATTAAACTTACCATAGTAATTCTCAAAAATAGTTGGTGTATATTTTTCATCGCCCTTTTCTCCAATAAATACTTTGGTAAGGCAAGTCTTGCCAACTCGAGCATCACCAACAACCGAGCATTTCAAATCTGGAACTGACATCTTCGTGTTATGTTTAAATGTGTTGGTGGAAACAAAGTGCTAGCTTTTATAATACGAGTTTGAGAGTAAATTTGCTTTTACCTGTACATTGGTGCGGTGTTGCTAAGGATACGTAAAATGTTGAGAAAAAGAGGTGGGAATAACTTTGATATTAAATCAATATTAAGTATTTCATTGGTGCGAAAAATATGAAAAAATAAGTTGAACATTTTAACAAAAGCAGAAAAGCAAATGATGATAGACTTTGCTAAATATGCAACTGATGTATACTGTCCACCTGAAGAAAGATTCTCATCAAATGAAGAATACTCACAGGACCTGGACTGTACGTACAGGGTTTGAAAAGATGTGGAAAACTTTGAATAGTTGCAGATTTGGCAGGAAGTTCAAAATGAACAAGCATTATGAGAGTATTGCATAACCAATACATGTCTCGTACGGGGTTCCCCTTTTCTCTTTATGATGTCATTTAATAATATCCTGTTTATGAAAATGTGGACATTTCGGAAATTACTTGTTTAAGAATGAACGAATTGATGTCATTATACATACATGAATGCTTTGTTCAAAACAGCTAATTTTTCATGGTTACAAAACAATTATATCTTTTGAAAAATCAAACTTGAATTGTGCATGGTAAGTCACCTAGTTAAAATAATCTGTGTCTCAGGACAAGCCCTCGCCACAGTTGGAATATCTCCTATAAACTCGTAATGTTGCAAAAAAATTGCAGAATGAGAATTGCTCCGAAACGATTTTGAAGAATACACAAGGATATGCATTAGAAATAACTACCATTACTGATTAAAACAAACCTTTTTTTTTTTGATCTATCTACCATGCAGAAAAAAGACATTTAATTTGAAAGCAATGGCGTTCTGGTTCAAAATTTATGACCAAGGTAAAAGTACTTGATATTAAAATGTTGTTGCTTGTCTATAAACTAAATAAATAATCCATATATAAAGACGAAAATTCACCTCATTATTTTTTCAACGTCTTCTCGCTTCTTATTGTAGGCAAGTGCAAATTTAATATTTTCCAATTTTATCAGAACGTTAGTTTTAGCATTTTTTGGAGCCGAGGCTGACGTCATTACTTGTCACGCTGCAGCCAGAACTTTATGTCTAAGTGCAGACCTTAGCATTTTGTATTTTTGAAACAATACTACAGTATTCAGATATCACTGCTGCCTTTTGGTTTATACTACAATAAAGTTGTGAATCTTCAAGTCTTGTCACTTGGCTACATTATTTACCATGTTGACATTCGGAACTACGATATTTGCAATGGCGTGAAGTTAAATTTATCGCTTATATTTTAATAGATGATTGATTGATTGTATATTGTTTCACGTACCCCGTTCCATTCGATAATTTTTCTCTCACATTGACGTCACCGGATGCCGCGGTGAAGGGCTTCAAATTTAGACTACATTCGGCACTTAGGGCCATTGAGCCGTTGGGGTTCTTTATCGTGCCAACACCTAAATTGACACGGGGCCTAATTTTTAAAGTCGTGTCCGAAAGACCCGTGACTTTCACTTCTAATGCCAAGGGCTTGGCGAAGGAACAGACACTACCTATATTTAAGTCTGACACGACGCCGAGAACGAGAATCGACCTGGGCCTCCAGATCACGAAGCGAACGCTCTACCAGTAGACCATATCTTATTAAAACGGACCCGAACAATTTTTCGCAGCAGAGAACTGTACTGGTATTCGGACATGTAATCCTTAATCATAAATTTCCCGCAAAAAAATTTTTTTTTAAAAAGGAATCTAATCCTCAGCTATTCATATGACGAAATGCACTATTTGTAAAACGGAAATCAAAATAATTTAAACAAGTCATGTATCAAGTTCTCGTCGTTGCTTTTTAACTTCATGTCTATTATTTATATTTATTAAAGTTTGTCCATTTTTTTAAGATGGCCGTCGTAAAAAAATTAAATGAATATAACTTTTCATTAATAATTTTCACTAACAAATTTTGACTTATTTTTGTCATTATTAAGCTGTCGTATGTTATTTAACGCCCTTGTAAACCGGAAGTAGTCATAACTTCTGCTATTTTTCCATTGTCAATGTAAACAACAAGTATGGGATGAAGGGGACGAGAACTTACTATCGATGAAAAGAAGACCGTAATATCCCTAATAGAAAGTGGATTAAAAGCAGTTAAAGTGGCTGAATTACTAAATTTGAATTCCTCGACAATTTGTCGATTCCCTGAGCGAGGTGACGGGGGGGGGGACTTACCATGGAGCTGAAATACTAGCATTTGTTGACGGTAATATGAACTCTCAGAGGTATATTAGTGTGTTAGATGAATATTTATGGCCCGTGATAGTTAAATATTTTGCAAATTCACACTAGCATTTTATGGATGACAATTGCCATGTTCATCGCTCAGAGAGACAGAAGACTGGAAACATAGGAATGGGATTCTACCATTTTTTTGGCCCCCACAATCCCCTGATTAAAACCCAATTAAAATTGTCTGGCTTGTTTTGAAAAATCATATTAAACGTCAGATTTTCCACATCCGTACCATCGACGATCGAAACACGAACTACAGTATGCTTGGAACAATCTGTTAAAAACTTATCCCAGGTCTCTCTACTCCAGTCTACCGAAACGATGTCGGAAAGTGATCGCATCCAAAGGCTTCATCACAAAATATCAAGTCAAAATACGAAGAAAGAAGAAAAGTGCATCATTTTTTGTTCATGCAGTAAACAAAAACTATGGCGGCCATCTTGTGAAAAATTGATATTACTTTTGGCACGTGAATGTAGTATGCATCGAGTCAATACACAGAACGCATTCGGGTCCAAAGATATATTTTTAGGTCACCTGAGTAAACTCAGGTGACCTATTGCTATCTGTTTTCGTCTGTCGTCGTCCGTCGTGCGTCGTGTGTTAACATTTGAACATTTTCAGCTTCTTCTCTGCAACCACTGAACCAATTTCAATCAAATTTGGCACAAAGCATCTATGGGTGAAGGGGAACAAAAGTTGTGAATTTCATGATCCCTGCCCCCCCCCCGGGGCCTGAGGGGTGGGGCCAAAACCACTAAAATTAATGCAATCTTTAAAAATCTTCTTTACTCCTGGACATCAAGCAGTCAAACTATTTGCATGATTGTAATCAGCATTGAGTCCTCTACCAAAATTGTGAAATTCATGGCCCTGGGGTCAGGGGTTCTAGTGCTAGGGCGGGGCTAAATAAGTATATAGTGGAAATGCATTATTTCTTTGAAAATATTCTTCTCTGCTCCTGGGTATTAAATAAACTAACTAAGTACATGGTTATGATGAGCAAGAGTGCCTCTACCAAAACTGTGAATTTTATGGCCCCAGGGTCAGGGGTTCTGGTGTTAGGGTGGGGCTCTATTGATTATAAATAGTGAAAATACATGAATTCTTTGAAAATCTTCTCTGCTCCTAGGTATTAAATAAACTAAGTACATAGTTATGATGAATAAGAGTGCCTCTACCAAAATTGTGAATTTTATGGCCCCAGGGTCAATGGTTCTAGTGTTGGGTTGGGGCTCTATTGATTATATAGTGAAAATACATGAATTCTTTGAAAATCTTCTCTGCTCCTAGGTATTAAATAAACTAACTAAGTACATAGTTATGATGAGCAAGAGTGCCTCAACCAAAATTGTGAATTTTATGGCCCCAGGGTCAAGGATTCTGGTGTTGGGGGGAGGGGGGGGGCACTATTGATTATAAATAGTGAAAATACATGAATTCTTTGAAAATCTTCTCCTCTGCTCCTAGGAATTAAATTAACTAACTAAGTACATAGTTATGATGAGCAAGAATGCCTCTTCTAAAATTATGAATTTCATGGCCCCAGGGTCTGGGGTTCTGATGTTAGGATGGGGCTCTATTGATTATAAATAGTGAAAATACATTGAGTCTTTGAAAATTTTCTTTTCTGACTCTGGGTATGAAGCAGATGAACTACCTATATAGTGATGATGAGCAAGGGCCCTAATCTTGCAGAATTGTGAATTTCAAGGCCCAAGGGTCAGGGGTGGGGGGGGGGTCCTACTTATATACTGAAAATGAATTAATTGTTTGAAATATGCTCCTTTGTATTTATAAAACATTTATTTTTTGATAGGCAATTTTAAGGGTGCCTTTTAAAAATTTGTGCAATGTGTGGACCTAAGGTCAGGGGTTTATGTCACAGTGTTAGGGGCACTACTGATTATTGCTGAATATTACTGATTAGTTGGAGTGCATTTATGTTCCCCTACCCTGCGTATGGGTATTCAGTAACCAAGCTAAGCAACTGCTAAGTGTATTGTTATGATGATCAATGGTGCCTCTTTCAAAATTGTGAATGCCATATAGCATCTGGCTTAAAACATGAATCAAATTTAATACACTGTAACTGGAAAGTTGTTGCATAATGCTCAGGTGACCTATAAAGCCCGTGGGTCTCTTGTTACATTCTATTTCGTTTGTCGCTATAAGGTTACCAAACAAATTTCAAATTAATAATCTTTTAAATGACAATCTCGTTTGGATCATTAATTTAGCACTTACCCGATCTTAAACCATATTATGATAAATAAAAAATGCCATTATTTTTTTAAAAAGTCAATTAAGCGAAACGACATTCAAACTTGTTCTGTAACTCATCATGATACAGTCACATACCAAAAATTAGCTCAATATCAGCAAATGTTTAGAAAAAAAGTGCGTAAAACCAAATGGGGCAGACGGAATGACGGACAGACACAGAGGAGACCTATGATATGAGATCCTAAAAATTTTTGAATGACAGATATGGAGAATAAAAAAGGAACATCTTTTCAATACATTTAATCCTCTTTCACATTTAAATGTATAACAAACATTTCAAAAAGTGTACTAAATTTTTATTGCATTTATTGTTGACGTACAAAACAGTTGAACATCTCTCGTGAAATCCAAAGCAAGAATATTTAGAATTTTAACTCCTTGCTGACCAGAAGCTGCGCCTTAAAATCCTGTCAAAGAATTTTTTGATGCGATATAAAATTCATAAATTTGGTCATCCTATTCTTTAATACAAACTCTTGATTTAAATTGCTTACGGTATGAATTAAAGCATAAGAAATATGTATAATGCATTCATACATGTAGTCTCAATAGCAAAACTGTTCACAAGTAAATACTGAAATTGACAAGGTTGAATAAGTTTTAGAATTTATATCTATCATACATAATTATACAGTAAAACATTAATGGAATTTGCACATATAGCCATATATCATGTTACCGTTTCAAATTGCATTGTTGAACAAGTATATCAGCTGAAAAACATTGCAACATTTACAATTGTATTGTGAAAGCTTCTCTGTTGTGAAATGATGTATTATCTTTGATTTCCTCATTCCTAAGTCTCGGTATGTCTAAATCGAACAAAATTAAATCCTAATTTGCTTGTTGCATAAATGCAGGCGGACTTGAAAAAAAAATTAACAGAATACGTGAACATAATGTTCACTAAGGAAAACAACATAACTCGCTTAGTACGAACACGGATATAGCGAAGTTATCTTGGATCCCCAGCTCTATAAATTTAACGAATTACTAATATGGGTGTAACGATTTACGGATATAGCGAAGTAATTTCGTAGGTCCCTGTGACTTCGTTATAACCGAGTTTTACTATAAATCATTTTGTTTTCAGCTGTTCATTAAATTCACGGACGAGGCGTTTTTCTTAAAAAGTTATGCGCGCATTTAGCAGAAAATTTCAACAAACATGTATCTATCATATTTGAAATAAACTGTTGGTATAAACAAGAACTCTGCGATCTATTACTTAGGAATTATACCTTACTCTGTTGTAAATAAACAAATTCAGTTACATAGAGTCACAGGGAAATAGGAAAAGATTCGTAAAAAATCCCACCATATAAAAAAGCAAAGTTTTTGCTCAATTTTGAGCATCTTCCGAAGAGTGGTTACTGAGAAAACTGTCATCAAGGTTTGGTATGTATGGCACGGACATACGCACGTATAAACAGAAATAAACAAAAATTAATCCCACCATAAGGCATGCCTGAACAAAGTGTGCTAAATATAGGACTTGGAATGAGGGTTTTCACATCTAATACATCGAGGAATGCTTTGGAAAGAATGTCTGCTGCACTGTTATTCACATTTTGTTTACCATCAATTTCACGAATTCTGAAACATAAAAGACCTTGATAAAAGTATCACAACGAAGATTAAAAATCTCACAAGCCACAGCGCTCATATGAAGTACTTTAGGCCTGCAGTCCTTCAGGGACTGACTATTTCTTACTTTTTAAAGCCATTTTAAACCTTATCCAATATTTTGGGTCCAAACTTATAGTTGAAAGAGATTTTTGAAAGGTACATATAGTTTATGAAGTATAGTCCTGCTACTTCGTCGCCCGCTTGGGGCAGTGGTTAGAGCGTCTGCTCTGGAGTCGCAAAGTAAGGAGTCGATCCTTACGTCGCGCGTTCGAATACCACTGTGGGACTTGGAGACCGGTCCTTCGGATGAGACCATATAAACCGAGGTCCCTTGTCGCAGTAAGTGCTGGCACGGAAAAGATCCCTCCCTGCTCAATGGTCCTGAGAGCCGAGTATAGGATAAAATTAGTATCTCTCCACCGGCAAGTGGACTTATAAAACATCAATATTACAAATACTTATTACACGAGTAGCTTGCATATTATTACGAACCAGCGCAAATCTGTTTATGAGATAGTTTTTTGAATGTTCCCAATATTTTCGAAATGTATAATTAATCCTTCATTATATCCCCCTTTTAACTAAAGGTGCATTTGTTTAATTATTGACTTTGGAATCTGTATAGTCTGGGATGTTTATATATGAGTTGCAATTATGATTCTGATTTATTTAAGGTATCCTGCCGTTCGTGAAAATAGTTAAAATCTTTTTTTTTTCGATGGAACTTTTGTAACCTAATCTGTTCTATTTGACAATGACATGAAAAATGTGAATAAATATATGACCAATCATGGCTTTGCTATTCGAGTTAAAAAATTTAATTGTTTCCCCTATATATTTCCGTGTAAAACTTTGATCGGCCCTTGTGGCCCTGTCCTACCTCCGGGAGTCATTATAAAAAAAACTTGGACCTACACTACCTGAGAATACTTTCATATAAATATGACCAACCTTGCTGTTCTTGAGAGGATGATCTTTAAAGATTTTTCCTATATATTCCAATGTAAAAACTTTTAGCTCCCCTTGTTGCCTCCTTCTACCCCCGGGGGGGGGGGGGGGGTCATGAATTGAACAAATTTGAATAAACTACCTCGTAGTTTACCCCGTAATTTTCATCTTTCATGGCACAGTGGTTATTGAGTCACCAAATTTTCACATTTTCTGAATCATCTCCTCTTGAATAAGGGCATTGCCTTCCATTTGAACAAACCTGCCAGTGAATTCCCTTCATCTAAAGATGCTTTCAAATTTGGTTAAAATGGCCAAATGGAGAGGGACAGGCAGACGGACTACGGAAAAAATGTGATCAGAAAAGGTCAAGTGAGGTAACAATATACATGTACTTAAACAGGCCGAGAACACTTGATTTTCTGCTGTCAGCATAAATTTGCATGTAAATTAGTTGTGAGTCGCAATGCATTATGGGCTATCACTACAAGTACTTAGTTGTGTTGAAAATAAAGGGCAACTTGAATTGTACCATGGACACTCATTTTCAATTATTTTTTAGATTTATGAAAGAAATATAAAAAATGATGTATAATCTTTCATTTCTATGCTCCCATTTACACCTTATATCAACTCATTATACATCGGTCTAAACCATTGGTCAAAGAGACGTAGGTGCTATCGTGTCGATAAAGCATTGAGAGTTGTTTTTTTCACCTGGATTACGTGTACATAGTTTTAGACAGCAGTACAAAGTATGCAATTATTATTTAACCCCTCAATATCACAAAATGTTACAATGTACGTTCAAACGTCGAAGCATTTGTACGGTATTTAAAGCAACTATTAACCATCTAAAACAACTCAAGCATTAAATGTGAGCATAGAGCAGTGTCTTTGGAAGATAATCTTTCAATTTTGGCCTTATAATATGAAAAAGAAACTGTAAGGTGTTTTCCGGTGAGGAAGTAAATATTATGCTGTAAACAGACGAAAACCACGTATCGCCATTGAATCGTAAACACGTAGTAAACTCAATCGACCGGCGGAAAACGACCTCGAATGTATTACGTAGACGCAATTACAACCCCACTTTCACAAACGTTGAAATCTTCTTATCTTTGGAACATGGAGTTTAACTTTATTAAATATAAAGATAATACATAAAATATACCATAGAAGAGACTTTTAAATCCTTCTATCCTATATTTATATGAACAGAAAATGTATAAATTTTTAACATCCGGTGATGTTAATACATTCGAAGTTGTTTTTCCGACCTCTGACGGAAAGACCCGAGATGATGGGATTGGTAGTAGACTGTCATGCTTTGAGACTCATTCAATAGATTGGTGAACAGGTGTGACGAAGATATTGTCACGTGTTGAAAATTGCCTTCCATATAAGGTAGTGTACCCGACCTGTTTAATTTACAATTGCATTTGACCGTGACAAGAATACTGCACTTTTATTTCTTAACGTGTTTGTAAACTCAAATTTCACATCGATTTTTATCTGATAATAATTTACCGTTATAGTTGACCTGCCCGTCTTTATCGAGATCCGCCTCTTTAATCATCTCTTTGATATCCTCCTCTGATAGATTCTCCCCTAGATTACACATCACTGTATGCAGCTCCTGGGCACTTATGAAGCCATTTCCGTCTTTGTCAAACACCTTGAAGGCCTCTCTCATCTCCTCTTCAGGGTCAGTGCTACTATTCTGGAACTTGATCATCATCGAAACGAACTCGTTAAAGTCAACAAAACCATTGGCTACAATAAGAAAAAAAGTGAAAGATTGAAAGTAATTTGGAGACGTAAATGTCCTCTAAGTCACATCAAGTTCTTTCCTACTGAAAAAAATAAAAATAAAGTAATGATTATTTTTTCAATCTACTGGGATACAAACACGTTTCAAGTTATGAAAAATTTCAAACCATCTCAATCGAATAAACGTGCTATATTTACACTGATTCTTTTAGCACTACTTATCCTTAAAGATATTTTATTTTTTAAAATGGGCATTTTCTTACGATTTTCCTCAACGAACCTGATGATTCGGAAATGGGAACTTTATAATACGAAGAGGTGGAATGTGATAAAAAACATGCCGACGGCCGTGAAATATGAACGTTTACGACCCGATCACGTGACAACCTAGAACCAATCAGATAACGCGTTGTGTAGAATATTTATAATAAGGTATAATAATATTATTTAACCTCTAAATATTATCAAAAAGTTTTTGATGTACATGCAAACATCAAAGCGTTTGCACATTATTCGAAATTTCGAAGCAACTATTAATAATCTAAAACAACTCCAGTATTAAATGTGAGCATGGAGCAATGTCTTGGATATATAATCTTTCAATTTCGGACTTTAAAAAAATGATAAATAAGCTCTACGGTTTTTCCGGTGACGAAGTGAATATTATGCAGAAACCGACGAAAACCACGTGTCGCCACTGAATCGTAAACACGTATATAGTCGTGGTAGTAGGGCGTCATGCTTTGGGACTCATTCACTTGATTGGCGAACGTCACGTGTTGAAAATTGCCTTCCATCTAAGGTAGTGGTCTCGACCGTTACAATTTTTAATTATTTCTGTTATGAAATTATGCATTTTAATAGCCATTCTCTGTAACCATTTAAACTTCGTTGCCACGCATGGTCACCGATTTTGATGAAACTTCACCCATGCTTAGTACTTGACACCAGAAACAAATATCAAACAAAATTTCGTTGCTATACGTCTCGGTTGCTATGGCAACAGCCGAAAAGGTTTGAAAAATTGAGATTTTCAGCCACTTTAAATCTTGACTGTGGCTTAATAAAAACTAGAAAAAGCAAA